CCCTCTCCCCCCCCCCCCTTTGGTTGTACTATATTTTACATATATGAAAATCACCTTTAGGCACAATGCCTAGTGGACTTTAACTAAAAAAAAGGTCAAACCCGAAAGCTTCTCTGAACAAAACTAACTGACCCCGCAAGTCATAAAATCATAAATACACAAGTGTGAAGTAATAAAAGGGATAATGGGGCGCAATTATACAAAACGACCGATTGGGTTGTTACAAATCTCCTGCTACGCAAAAAATCATAAAAAATAATAAAAGAACGTACGTGCAAAATTGTTGGTACCAATCGAAACATGCAAGTTAAAAGTCAGATGAGTAGTTAGCTTTTGCTTTTTCGGTTGAAAAACATGGAAAGGAACAAATGATAGAAAAAAATTGCTTGCACCAAATATTTGCACTAAACTCGTAAATAGTGACATCTATGTAGAGGTGGGCATAATACCGACCGAACCGAAAAAGTTGGCCGAACCGTGAATTTTGGTTTTTTGGTTTCGGTTCAATCAATTTTTCGGTCGGTGCACGGTTTTAAAATTATTAATTTTCGGTTTTTTGGTGCGGTTTACGGTTTTTCTATTTCGGTTTTCGGTTAAATCGAAAAATCAAAAATTTGGGTATTAGTTCAAAACTTATTACCCTGCCCATCTTATGATCTTAGGCAGAAGCCCAAATGCCCAATAGTCCAATACCTTTGAAGCCCACCCCACCCCATTTATCCAAACCTAATTACCCAAACTTACTGTCACAGTCACTTACGTTACTTCCCAAGTTCCCAACTTCCCATCAAAAATTAGATTTAGGGTTCCTCTCCTCTGAGGCTCTGTGCGACTGCGACACTATGCAAACTTTGCGACTGCTGCCTTCTTCCTCAGCTCTGTGCGACTGTTTGGAGTTTGGACGTGAAGTCCTGTTGCAGGCTTGCAGATAGATTTGCTGCTGTGTTCACTGTTGAGAACACGTTTGGACGTCAAGTCTTATTGGACGTGAAGTCCTGTTGGACGTGAAGTTCTTTTCATCGCTGAATTCTTCTCAATCTCAAGTGGAATTGTTTTCCAGTTAGGTAGTTAGCGATGAATTCTTTTTTGAAGCAGTACTCCAATTAGTTTGTTGATAAGCTGACCTTGACAGATTCTATTGTCTTCTTTTTCTAGCAAAACATTTTGGCCTTAAATGATTGGATACAACTACTGTAGGATTTACATCAAACTTTTCCACGTTGTTATTCCCTTCCTCCTTTATTAGATACGAACTTTAAAACCAGCATTTCCACAGAAGCATAAAATTTTCTTGAACCGTTTAAAACCGAAAAAATAAACCGAAAATAACCGAACCGAACTTTGAAAAAATCGCACCGAACCGTAAATACTTTGGTTTGATTTGGTTATTAATATTACAAAATCGAAAACCGATAAACCGAACCGTACTTTCATAATAACCGACCGAACCGACCGACGCCCACCCCTACATCTATGTTTATAACTTTATTAATTTAACTATGATTATTTAATATACATCTCATCTTCAAATTATCATTTAATCATAATAAATTAATATAGTTTGACGGAGATACAAATGCAAATAAAAACACCTCTTAAAGTTTTACCTTGACCCATGTTTTGGAAAATATTTCTAATTTTTCCATGTTTGGTTGGTTTAAATGTTTATTTTCTGAAACTTTTTTTCAACCTTCCCCATCTCCACCAACCCCCACCCACCATCCCCACCTCTCTCCCTTCCCCCCCCCCCCCACTTTCACCCACACACCACCCAAACCCACCTCTACCCCCGACGTCCTCCACCCTAAATATATGAAAATATTATTTAGAGTACATTCTTTTCATGATATAGAAAAAATAATTTTACTTATCAACAAAAAAATATTACTAATTTTTTTGTGACGTAGAAAAAATATTTTCTATCATTTCAACAAAATAAATACTTTCTTTTCATGATGTCGAATGCTTTATTTAACTAACTGTTGTTGCCAAAAATAATTATCAAACATAAAAAAAATCTGAAAATAAAGAGAAACACGTTATCACAATAGAAAAAACAACAAATAAAATTTATATCAATAAAATAAAGGACGAAGTTAGTGAGCTATTTTTTAGATATCACATTAAAATAAAATAAAGTATTTATTTTATTGAAATGAACGAAAATACTTTTTCTACAACATGAAAAGAAAATAGTCTTTTTGTTGAACTAAAAGAAAATATTTTTTCTACAACAGGAAAATAAAGTACTCATTTTGTAACAAAAATACTTTTTCCACATCATGAATAGAAAATACTCTTTTTGTTGAAATAAAAGAAAATACTTTTTCTACAACATAAAAAGAAAGTACTCATTTTATAAAAAAAAAATACTTTTTCTACATCATAAAAAGAAAATACTTATTTTATTAAAAAAAATATTTTTCTGCATCATAAAAAAAATACTTATTTTATTAAAAAAATATTTTTTCTACATCATAAAAAGCAATTTTTTATAAAACTTAAAACGTCTTGAAACACATTAAACGAACGAGTTTAAAGACGTTTTTGCAAGTTTTCAAAAATTTCTAGGGTTATTGGTTTGAACACCATGGTGCTTTGCGGGAAATGATTTTTCAGAAAGAAAAAAGAAAAAATATGTCTTTATCTTTGTAATAATAATGCTTGAAAAGACTCATAAAAATTAAAGGTAGAATTTCCAACCGCTGAATATCGCATTTTTTGAGAGTCCACGGACAAGGACAAGACTTTGAGTAAAGTAAGTAAACCTAAAACCTTCATTATAAAGCCAATCATAGGAAAGCTACTTTAATAAAATACTTATTGTATGGTTTTTTCTATATAAAATATGTCCAGATGTATCAATATTTTATTACAGTAGTACAACTGTTAGATACCCAACAATTGCATTGTAATTATTTATCATTTTTGGTGTTAGATAAATGTGACATCCATGGAGTTGTGCTGGCTTGCTTGTCTTCTTTCCTGTTAAGATAAGAAATTTAGAGGAGATGAGACAGATAATTCACACAAACGTACAAGGTAACTTACTATAACCATCATTATCTTACTAAGGGTAATTTAAACACTATAATCATTGAAAACTTTCATATTCTCCTTTTTAGAATATGCCCTAATGATCAATAAAGTAAATGAAAATGGCAAGTGATTTTTTAAATCTATTAAAAAGAAAAGAAAGAGCAATAAGGAGCCATGCCAATAGGAAAAAAAAGGGGTTATAAATGGTACATATTCAATTACTATTTGACAAGATGGGATATCATCATTTCTGATTCATTTATAACAATTTTAGACCATAAAGGAACTCAAAAGAAAAAGAAATAATCATTGTAGTGATGACCCTAATTTTGTACAGTCTCATTACAAATTTGAAATTAAATCATGCATTTAAGATAAATGTGGAAGCCATCCACAATTAACGATACACCTAACTTTTATACTGGATGGTATGACATTGAATAAAAGAAATTACTTCCTAAAAGTTCTCTGGTTCTCTAATATATAGGTCACAACATTAAATTTGAAATATTATTCTGGAAACGAAAAAAAAATCCAACAACATATCAATGATCAAAACATTATTGAATTCAAACTCGTAATATTATGATTTAAATTTGTAGTCCTACATAAAATTACTTATAATCACCAAGTATTATTATAACTTCAACGGTCATCTGTTGGTGCTACTATTATGTTCAATAAGCTATGTCAACTTATCATTAGCGGCAAAGTCAGAATTTTTACTAAAGTGACGTCAAAATATAAAGACTAAACCCATGAATAAGTCAAGGAAAGACAATACATAGTATACATACATATAAATTATTTTTTACCTAATTACACAGTGTAATTTTTCGACGAAAATGTATCAATTTGACACGTTGAATACATGTGACAATGCTACTACTTATCATGATTAACTAATTTAATAAGATGAGAATATATATTGTAATTATTTATAGTTAAATGATAAAAATTTATTTAAAAACACAGACATATTATGCATCTAATAATGCATCTAAATACCATTACCTATACTGTTAGGAGTTGTTTGGTTGGGAAACAAGTTATTCCAGGATTAATTATTCCGGAATTAGTTATATAAAAATTGTTATCCCACCTTCCATAGGAATAAAAATAATACTATAATCTTGGGATAACTAATCTCTGAATTAATTATATCTTAATTTTATACATTAAATATGAAATAAACTTATCTCAAATTTAATACGAGATGCCTTATCCCTAGCATCAAACCAGCTCTTTAACGCTCTAACTAGGAAAATCTTGGCAGGTCCTAGAAAGCGGCTTGGGTGTGGGGGAAAACCTCAATGAAACAAAAAGAAATTGGGGTCAGAATACATTTATCCAAAAATATAAGGACCTCTTTGTCAAATAAATTTACCTTTTGTACTGATGCACAATCTATTATTCTGTACTTATTGATGTAGAAAATTTTCACTTCACTTCTCCTCTACTTTCTCTGTAATTGATAAAATTGAATCCTCATTTAATAAATCAGAATAAACAAAAGCTAGTCAAGTCCGTTAGTCGGTGGCTCTTTCCGAACCGAATCTCCGGCCACATTTCCTTCAGATGTTAGTTTCCCCTTTCCGGCGAGGCAGCTACCACACCACCTTCATCTAAGACTCAGGTCGAAGCTGAATCTATCTCCGGACACATTTCCACCGGAATGCCAGTTTTCCGTTGCCGGCGACTACTCTGCCGTGAAAATATCTGCACCTAACACTCAGCGTGAAGGCCGAATTTCCGGCAACATTTGCTCCGGAATGTTAGTTTCCGTTTCCGGCGACCACTCTGCGGTGGAAAAAGCACCTTCAGCTAACACTCAAGTTGTACCGTTGAGCTTTCTACGCTCATATATTTTGGTACAGTGAAGCTTCTATAGTGGAGCCCCCAGTGATTTTTCTGTTTCGGCTTCCTGCACTTTCCCCCGATCTCGTTTTTCTGAGGTAAATCCAATGTTACTTTCTTTTTCCTTTTTGGAGTATTTTAGCTTTCCAGAGGAGACCTTTTGTAGCTTTAATTTTTTATAGTTAATTCTTCATTATCTTTGTTTAATTCTATGGACCACGTCTTTGTACAGAAATTTACTGCTGCAAATAGAGTCGCGTATAGGCTCTTTATTCTAGAATTTCTGCAATAGATGTTTATGCGTATTTGCTGCGACTGATCTGTATTGTTTAGTGTGGATTACTCTTCCAGTCTTTGCAAAATCTGAGTGCTTTTTATTTCATGGTGTTTGGTTGAAGAACATTTTTGCAGAAAGTGAAATTTTCTTTGAAAAAAACTCTTCTAATAAATTTTTGAACCAAACGCCAGTAAGACAATCAACTTAGCTAGCGTTTAAACATAGATTTGGTTGAAACTTGAAAAAGTTGAAATGAGTTTTTGAAGTTGTGTTTGAAAAATAATTTTTGGAAGTTGAAGTTGTGTTTGGATGTGCATTTTTTGGGGAAAAGCTTGAAGTTTCGTGAATGGAAGAAAAATTTCACCCAAGAACTGCCCTAAACTAGTTTTTGGGAACTTGAAATTTTTTTTTTAATTTTTTACAAAAACTGATCTGTCCTATGAACAAACAATGTTTTCAATTTTGTTTTTGAAAAAATGTTCCCAAAATCTATGGCCAAACTAGTGCTTAATCACTTCAGAGATTTCTGCACGAAAGCTGAAGGGGTGCACTTTGAGTTTTGACCTTCTCCTGATCTGTTCAGCACGTTTCCTACTGTTTTTTTTTTTTCTTTAGGTTAATTTGTCTGATCATTGGTCACTTCTGTGTTATAGTAGCTTTATCTTTGTTTTTAATGTGTTATTTCAATTTTAACCTTCATAGTTTCATGCGGTTGATTTGTCTGATCATGCCTTTTGTTCTTATATTGTTTTCTGGCCAAATCTTCCCTCTTTTTTCTATTTGCATGGACAGGTATATACTTGTAAAAAACATACTGTACTTTTTTTCATATTGAACATATATGGCATTGCCTATCTCTTTGTGTGAGGGGATGATTGATGCGCCCTTTGGGATTTATACTCTTCCTTGCATGGTCTCGGGAGTTAAGATGAATGGGTTTCAGAGTGGCAAGAATCGCAATCACGATAAACCTTCTCCAGGATGCTTGGGACGAATGGTGAACCTTTTTGATTTAAATTCAGGGGTGACAGGAAACAGACTGCTTACAGATAAACCACATCGTGATGGTGAAACTCTATGCTAATTTTTTTTTCTTCCGTCTCCCGTTATCATTGACATGAATGCTGTTTCCGTGCAATATTGTCTCAAATTCTCTGTCCCATGAAATTATTGAGCATTGAAAACAACATAAACAGCTGTAATAATTACTTAGTTTATTGGAAAAACATCTTGATTTCAATTTGAGAGCACATAAGCTTGATTCTTCAAACTGCCCGTGGGCATGCCTTGATCTCATTTGATTTTATGCTACCTTCGGTTTTTGGTCCAGTAGTTTATGCCATACAACTATAAGGTCGAATCTGCATGTTGAGCTGGTCCAGCTTATTGCAGGTTCTCTGTTGAGGAGCCAATCAGATGTGGTGAGGTTGTTGCCTTCTGAGGATCAAGTAGAAGAAAAAATGGTGCATATTCTATCTAGATGACATTTATTTAGATAGCAAGGTGCTGGTTTTCCGGAGAGTTTGGCTTAATACTAATGCTTATATATGGTGCATGCAGATTGTCTCAGATTTGAAGAGGACTAGCTCAAACAGGAAATCAAATGGAACACCAATAAAGATGCTTATAGCCCAAGAAATGTCCAAGGAAATAGACTCTCGTCATAATCCACCTAGTGTTGTTGCCAAGCTGATGGGGCTTGATGCTCTTCCGGCTCAGAAATCTATTCCAGCTGTAAGAAGTCATTTTGGAGGTCATTCACGGTGTCATACAGATTCCTCCTTCAGCTATTGCCAGCACGAAAACGAATCCTTGGTGGAAGAAATGCAGCAAGAATTTCATCAATATCCTGAACAGAATGAATATAAAGATGTATATGAAGTTTGGCAGCACTCCCCAAAAATGAACTGTGTGAGAAGTAAATCCCCACAAAAGGCAAGACACAATGAAACTAGTTTTGAGAAGAAGTCGGCTTTTGTTCGTCAGAAGTTTATTGAAGCAAAATGTTTATCCATAGATGAACAACTTCGCCAGTCTAAGGAATTCCAAGATGCAATAGATGTCTTAAGTTCCAACACAGATCTGTTCCTCAAGTTTTTGCAAGAACCGAATCAGATGTTCTCTCAGCATTTATATAATTTGCAGTCTATACCTCCTCCTCCTGAGACAAAGCGAATAACTGTTCTAAGACCATCGAAGATGGTTGATGATTGCAAATTTGGTGGATCAGTGAAGAAAAATGAGGAGATAAACAGAGTTAAGGGAAACAGGGCCAAAAACCATATTGCATTTACCCCTCCTACAGCAAGTTGGAATATTGATGAAAATCATGCTCAACCTACACGGATAGTCGTGTTAAAACCAAGCATCGGTAAGACTCACAACTTTAGGGCTGCAAACTCTTCACCGTCTGCATCACCAAGAGTATCACAAGCTGAAACAAGTTTTGTCAACATGGAGGCTGATGAAGCTCAAGAATCAAGAGAAGTGGCAAAGGCTATCACACAGCAGATGCGAGTAAACATAGGTACACATCAAAGGGATGAAACATTAGTTTCTTCTGTATTTTCGAATGGCTACATTGGTGACGAAAGTTCATTTAATAAGTCTGAAAAGGAGTATGCAGCTGGAAATCTTAGTGATTCTGAAGTCATGTCACCAGCTTCTAGACACTCATGGGAATACATAAATAGGTTTGGCAGTCCTTATTCTTGCTCCTCCATGAGCCGTGCTTCTTATTCTCCTGAATCTTCAGTTTCCAGAGAAGCCAAGAAGCGACTTTCTGAGAGATGGGCGATGGTGGCATCTAACGGGAGTTGTCAAGAACGAAGACCAATGAGGAGAAGCTCCAGCACTTTAGGCGAGATGCTTGCTCTCTCTGATATTAAGACGGCAGGAAGAATAGAGCAGGAAAGTAGCAAAGAAGATCCCCAGATTCCTAATTCCAACTCAGTGAGTAATTCCAAAGATGATGAAGGTATCAACAAGTCGCCAAGGAATCTTTTGAGGTCCAAGTCTGTCCCTGTATCTTCCAGTGCATTCGGTGCACAGTTGAATGTGGGCGCCCCAGATCATGTGACTGGAGAAAATGACCTTCCCAAGCAGACAACGAAGCCTAGAAGTACAAAATCATCACTGAAAGGGAGGGTCTCAAATCTTTTTTTCTCTAGGAACAAAAAGCCAAACAAAGACGAAGCTAAGTGTTCGCAGTCCAATGATGAATTGCAGACAGGTGCAAAACCTTTACATTCTCTATCAAAAGTTGACAAATATAGTAGTGAATTCCATGATGATTCCGGGGTTGAGTCTTCAGCAACCAATCTTCGCGAATCCTCATTCACACTGGCTTGCGAAGATGTGGCTGGGAAGCAAGCCACAACCTCCCCTGAGGTAAAGCAGTTATCTGATGTTTCTCCCTCTACTACATTGTTGCAAGTTGTTAGAAAATGGTTCATTTGCATTTTACATCATTATGACTTTTCTCTTCTATTTTTTTGTGGTAGCCATCTACACACCTTTGGTGGAGTGCATTTACAATTTCTTGAATATTTTATTAGATTCTGTGATTTCGGTAAACAACTTTTTTTTCCGATGTGTGGGAACTGTCGGACACTGGAGAACTCAAATAGCGTCAATATGACTGCTTAAGAAGTTGTTCAAGGTGGATTTATGTTATAATAATTTTGTAGGTTGCACTCTCTGAAGCAAGATCTTTGCGCGCTGGACACCCATGTGAAAACCAGGACCAACCGAGTCCTATATCAGTTTTGGAAACACCATTTGAAGAGGATGAACATCCAGCACATATATCATCAGCCGGTATCAAGCTGGACCGTCATGGTAAATGTCATCAACAATCCAACATGTTCTCTAGTTTCTTTCCTTGATTTAAAACTAATTCTAACCCCCCACCCCCTCCCATATCCCTTGTTTAAATCAAATTAGCAGGTACCGAGTTGTCTCTTCACCCTATAAGGTCCAATTTGATCGATAAATCTCCTCCAATAGGATCGATTGCTCGTACATTGTCATGGGACGATTCCTGTGCAGATACAGCCAGTTCAGCATGTGTAAGACCATCATCGTCTACTCAGCGGACAGAGGAAGTAGAACGTGAATGGTTCTCTTTTGTTCAAACACTACTAACCATGGCCGGCCTTGATGAAGTGCAATCTGATGCTTTCTCGACCATGTGGCACTCTCCTGAAAGCCCTTTGGACCCATCACTCAGAGAAAAATACATTGATCTGAATGAGAAGGAGACATTACATGAGGCTAAGCGAAGGCAAAGGAGATCAACCCAAAAGCTTGTGTTCGATTGTGTAAATGCAGCTTTATTAGATATTGCAGGATATGGGCCAGACAACTGCCAAAGAGCCATACCTTATGTTGGGGTCCATAATAATCAGCCGCAGGGAACTAGATTGATATTGGTGGACCAAGTGTGGGACCGGATGAAGGAATGGTTTTCTAGTGAGGTGAAATATCTCTCTTGTGATGCGGAGGACATAAACAGCCTGGTGATGGAAGGAATGGTGACGAAGGAGGTGATGGGGAAACGGTGGCTTGAAAGTTTTAGATTAGAATTAGCCAATGTAGGGATGGAAATTGAAGGAAAGTTGCTTGAAGAGCTTGTGCATGAATCTGTCATTGAATTGGCAGGTAGATTGTGATGAATCTTGTCCACTTAATTCTTCTTCTTTTAAGTTTTTTTTCCCTTGCGCAATTATATAACATTATTGTTTGTGTATTATTGTATTTGCCAACAACCTTGCCCACCGGTAATTGTTTAATGTTGTGAAGTGTCTGCAGATCTGTACTAACTTTTATATCTGGAATTGTTTTGTACATTTATGCTTTGACCCAATTATAGAAATAGAATGCAAGCGGTCCTATGGTTAACCATATGTACCTGAGACACAACTCCAGTGCACTTTAACTCTTCGCACAAAAAGAATCTTATCTTATGTGGTAGATATTGGTGTTATAAGTTTTGGAGTCAAGACACAGAAAGGGTGTTTTCTTTGTAAGCCACTCGAATATTCTTAGCTGGAAATGAAAAGTTGCTTGTTTGTATTACAGTACAATTTTACCAGCTTGATGAAAACTTTTACTACTCGTGCATATGAATAGAGTGAAATAATCTCGTGACTGGCAGCTGAACAACTCTTTGACTACTCGTGCATATGAATTATTTCCTTTTGAAATCCCCGAGGCTAGAAAGAAAAACGAAAGCAAACACCGACAAGATATGAGCAACAAAAAGATTTTTTTTTCCATGGTATGAACAGTTCTATGAAAATGACAGTAAACAAGGAAAGTTAAAATGGTCACATGCATTCCAACTACCAAATATTACTCTTTTTTTTTAATCGGAAAATGGCATATATGCTAGTGAACTATGCGAATTAGGATAAATATATCCGTCGTTAATAGTTTGGCACAGATATGCCCAATCTGTCCAATACTTGCTCATTCATACCCTTAGTTTAACGGAACCACTCTTTTGTCTTTCTTAAATAATTAATAACCGGACCCAACCAAAATATATTGACCCGATCCGTTAGGACCTGACTCACCCTTATTTCAAAGATATTTTTTGATATATTATTTTTGTTTGATTGGGAAATTGTGTGATAATCATATTTATTTATTTGAGTAATTTGATAATCGATTTTTTTTTTGTTATATATCATTTCGGAAAGTAATCCTACTAAAAGTAGTAATTGATATTTATTTATTATTTTAATATATAATACTCGAACTAGTTTGTGCTTTCTTCAATCATTTTACCATCTATTTTTATATATTAAATAGATATATTTAATATACAAACTGGAATTGGCCCGGACCGGTACAAAGGGGGCCGGGTGGGCTGGGTTAATGGGGTAAGGGGGGTTGATCCGTTACCTTCGTGCAACCGGTTAACCGGACCGGTCAAACCCGGTCAACGCGATTTACTGTAGAACCGGTTAAACCGGACTGGCCCAGACCGGTATAACGGCTACTTTCAAAATCTTTTTTTAATGTTTCTGACTTTCTGACCATTGGCAACGGTCTGCCGGGCCAAGGTCGTTGCCCAACGGCTGTTTTGCACATTTAGCTCTTTTTGGGCCAATTTTTTTTAAATTTAACACTTTTTGTAATTACTAATTTAGCCTTTTGAAAAACTATAAATACACCCCCAACCTCACCCACCCCTCTTCTTCATTTCTTCACTCATCTCTCATTTCTCAAACTCAAATTCTCAATTCAAGTTAAATCATGCCCCATACTTCTAGAGTGCGCTCATATATTTGGGACACTTTGAGGTGGTAGAAGAAAATGAAGAAGTTCACAAAGTAAAGTACAAGAATTATGGTCGAGTCTTAAATCTTCGTCCAAAGTGTGTGGGCACAGGCTGTTTAAGGAGGCATATGAAGAGTTGTCTTGAGCGTCCTCCCGAAATTCGTATTTAAGTTGATTTAAGACAATTTGTGTTATTTAAAAATTATTAGACGTATTTATGCTTAATGTTTTAGTTTGTTAGATTAATTTGAAGTATTATTATGCATGAAAATTTAGTTTTTCTCTTTTTTCGTCAATTTACTTGTTAAATGCAAACTTCAATTTGTAAGTTTGAAATAAAAAAAGCACTTGCAATTTATAAGTGCAATTTTTTTCCCACCTTCATTGTATTCTTTATATTTTTACTTTATATTAATATAACTTACAATAGTTACACAAAATACAAAAAATAAAATAAAAATTACACTAACCCGGCCTGGCCCGGCCCCTTGTACCTGTAACCCTTACGGTTCATTTTTTACCCGGATGAACCCGAACACGTTAAGCCCGGTAACCCCTAATTAACCCATAATCGACCCGGTTCGAAACCCGTACGGCTCCAACATTTCCCTACCCAGCCCGGCCCGGCCCGGCCCTTTAGACGCCCATAGCATACACTAAGATCTGCCCATGTGTTAAAAGGGCCTCTAAACCTCCCCCTCCCTGTCTCATTAGCAAACATCTTTTCCTTTAATTTCTTTTTCCGGTTTTTACTCGCTTTCCCCAAGAGCGAAGCTAACTTGGCATGCAGACAAGAAAACGATCATTCAAAAGCTAAAACAATATTCAGAAAAGACAAAGTAAAAGAAACGTTTTCTGATGTATATCTATTTGAACTTCTAGTACTGCCTTTAACACTTGGAGTTTCTCTGCTTTTGCTCTATATTGAAGTGAGAAGGTGACACAGAAAGAAGTAGGCAAGAGAATTTGAAGGTATGGAAAAGTTGTCTAGTAGTGGGTTGAGCCACATATTCATGACAGTGTTTCTTCACTGCTTCTCTGCATTCATGGTGATTCCTGCCATTACTGATATCACCATGTCTGCCATTTGTCCTGGAAAAGATGAATGCTCCCTCGCTATATATCTCACTGGATTTCAACATGCGGTAATTATTATTCCCCTAATCCCTTCTTTGACTTTTCATTTCCATGATGACTCATAATTAGAGGCGAATCTAGGACGTGTTCCGTGGGTACAACCGAATTGTTCACTTTCCCTTAGAACTATATTAATAATAATAACAGTAATAATAATAAGGTCATACCCATTCTAAATTCCACTCGCTTCTATATTTTAGATTTGCCTCTGCTTAAAATGCTTTCAATTTAATGTCTTATCGTTTCCTACATTACTTTTCCTATTCTAATACTTGTAATTATTTTGCTTGTGTGTTTAAGTTGTCTTCTTTTTCATTTCTTAGCTGAAATTCCTAGAAGGTGACTTTTACTTATATTTCTTTGACAACATCATATTAGTCTTAGAATATGAATTTACGCTCATAACAAAGTGGTATTCATGCCATTTTGGTGAAAAAAGTGAGGGACGTTCCTTATGGTTCCATGTGACATGTATTCCACTCTTTCTACTCGAATATGAATTTATGCTCATAACAAAGTGCTAACTGGCTTATTTTACCTCTATCCTCCCGCATTTTGTTCAAACCTTAAAAATATAATGTGCGAAAGAAATTAGAAAATATACTCCTTTTGTTTCAATTTATGTGAACCTATTTGATGGACATGAAATTTAAGAAAAATAAGAAGACTTTTGAACTTGTGGTGTAAAATAAGGGTACGTATATTTTATACGGCTATAACTAACTGCATAAAGATAATTTGTTTCTAAATATGAAAAGTGATCATTCTTTTAATATATATAATGTCACAACTATTTCGGACCCACTAACGTCACTATTCTCCACAAAATTGTTTGCTTTGGTTCTAAGTTAATTGGTTCGTAATGGAGTTTGATCGTGAGTCTTGAGTCTTAACTCATTTCCAACTGAGGGTTGGACTTGTTTAGAAGAATACTTAAAGTAATAAGGCAAAATAGTTTAATTGACAACTCTACTTGTTAACATATCGCCCCCTTTCTCCACGAGATTTCAAGTGAACATCTGAACTCGATCAAAATTAATCTTCTTTTACAGTTTCTTAATTACCCATGTGCCTTATCTAGCCATCAACAAAATTATATTTCCATACGTATATGCCAAAATTGGCTCAAGTGCTACATAATTATTATGACTAATTAATTATGACTAGTTCTATCAAGAGTGATAAATACTCCCTCCGTTTCAATTTATGTGAACCTGTTTGGCTGGGCACGGAGTTTAAGAAAAAATAAAGACTTTTGAAATTTGTGGTCCTAAACAAGTCAACATGCGGCCCAGAGCATTTGTGCGGGTATAAAAGCTTCTCATTAAGGGTAGAATTGTAAGTTTAAGCTAAATTGTTATCAAATTTAGAAAAGGGTCATTTTTTTTAGAACGGATAAAAAGGAAAATAGGTTCACATAAACTGGAACTACTGTCAGTCTTAATTCATCGGTGTGTAGTTCCCCTTGTTGCGAGATTTGCCCCTTTCAGAATCAATGAATTGGCATGGAAAATTTCATTGAGTGAGAAGATATTGTGAGAATGTAAACTACTTCATTAATGTTCTTTGATTGGAGCATGCATATACAAAAAAGGAAAGAGAAGAAATGAAAACAAGTGCATACCCGTCCTAGATAGCCAAATAAGGAAAAATCACCACTCTTATGATATGATGAGGCATAGTACATTACTCAACCACTTTTATCTGTCTTTACTTTGGAAATTTCCTCTGATTCCTAAGAAAATTCCCTTCATTAGAAAGTACTATTGAGTATGCAACTTTTAAATCTTTTTCTCTGATTGTCACGCAAGTGAATCATGTCTCATGTTACATTCCTTCCAACTTTTGTTACCATTTCTTTATTTTCTCTCTCTTATATTTTGTTTCATTTCCTTCATCCGTGTGATATTTATACTGTACTTGTCGTTATTAATAAATGGGGTTTCATTTCTTGTCGAACAAAGCATGAGTTTCGTCAATATTAAAAAATGTATATCAAGAGGAAGATGTTTTCGCAAGGAGGAGAATAAGAACTTACATGGAGTGATCTTCAAATAAAATCTTGAAACGGAGGTAGATAGTGAATTACGTATACAATTTGTTACCAAGGGTTGATTACACAAACAAGTCTTTCTGTTCAATTACAACGTCTCTCCCAGAAACGAACATTTTGGTTTTAATTTAAGTTATACTCCCTCCGTTTAAAAAAAAAACGTACTATTTAGGTTGTCAATTAAAAAATTTCCTTGACCATATATTTAGCAAAGAATTTTTAAATATTTGAATTGTTTACTAATGTGACTTATAGTATAAATAGTTTATAAATATGATAATTTAATTTCAAAAAACTTAAAGAATCTATGTCTGAGTTCATACAGAAAATTATTTAATTTGATCCCCGTACTCCAAAAAGAATCAAATGAAAATAAAGAGAGTATGAACTCATATTATTAAAAAAAAAATTATATTATCGTGCATTTAAATAATTATAATAAATTACTCATGACATATTTTATTTTGGTCATGTGCAGATAATAGGATTGGGATCACTGATTATAATGCCAGTGTTGGGGAATCTGTCGGACACGTATGGAAGAAAAGTCATGCTGACAGTCCCTTTGACCCTTTCCATATTTCCTCTAGGTACTTAATTACTCTTCCTTCCCATCTTCCTCTTAGTTTACTCAATAATCTCTCTCTATTAATATTGTATTTTACGAGATGAATAATTCAAAAATCTTAATTCAATTTAAATTTAATATTAATATAGAGTAAATTTATTAGAATTTTAGCAGTATGCTAGAGAAAAACATCACATGCGATCAGAATATGTTTAGAGAAACATAAAGCCAATCATGCATACAACAATATAATTAATTCAGACCTATCACACCGACTCCTTTTTATTAAAAAAATTCAAATGAATCTTTAGAAATACCTTATTACCACTATTAAACCCCTTTAAATATAAAAATGGACAAATAAGAACCACATGGGATAAAGGAGAACAAAATGAATAGTTAAAGACCCTAAGAATTAATGAAGAAATGAAAAGGCTAACGTTATTAATTAGTCGTAGTATTGATCACGCCCAACTATGCCTTATAAAAAGGACTAAGCGGTCGCTGCAAATATAATCTGGTTTACAAGTCCGGAGTCGAATCCCACAGAGAACTANGGTCTCCCGAGGAGTGCGTTATACCTCATGTCACCTTCGATGACATGGAACCCGACATCTTGTATGGTCCCGGCTACGTTTACTAGCAAGATAATCTCTCCATTTGTTGTTTCTCTTGCCATGTTGAAGCCATTCAGCACCCGGAATACAGGTACAATCTGATCTTGCAGGCCGAGTTGTTCCATGACCCTTGATCTGATTATGTTCGCTGAGCTACCTGGATCCACTAAAACACGTTTAACTTGAATTTTATTTAAAAAGGATAGAGATTACCAGGGCATCATTGTGAGGCTGAGATATGTCTTCTGCTTTCTCGTCACAGAATGATAGGTAGTCCTCAGGCACATAGCTCCGAGTCCGCTTTTCTCTTGTGATTGATACTTTGGTGCGCTCGAATATAGGTCGTTGAGGGACATCGACTCCGCCAATGATCAAGTGGATTACATGATGTGGTTCCTCTTGCTCATTTTTCCTTGCATCTCTCACCCTGAAGTGATTCTTGGCCCGATTGCTTAGAAATTCTCGAAGGTGGCCCTCGTTGAACAACCGAGCCACCTCTTCCCTTAGCTGCCGGCAATCTTCTGTTCTAGCTTAGGTCTAATTTGTGTCCAAAATATGTCCCCCTTCTTGTTCTTGGACGGCCTCCTTTGTTTAATATAGGGTTTAGGACTTAAAATCCCATGTTTTGCACTTTAGTCCCTGAAATTTTCGCTTCCTGCCGCGGTCCCACCGCGGTCGCGCTCAAACCGCGGCCAAACATACTCTCTGATTCTTAAGTTGTCCGCGAGTACACTCTGCCGCGGTTCTGCCGCGGTCGCGGTGGAACCGCGATTTTTCACCCTATTCTGTTTGGATTTTGGAAAAACATAAAACATGAAAGTTGTAGCCCTTTGAGTTAGATTTCCAGCCATATATTGTGAGCCCAAATGGAGTTTTGAGCAAAAAGTTATGTCTATTTTACTGGACAGTGCGCAATATGCCTCCTCAAGTCTTCGTTCGTACTTAATTATCAAATTTGACCCCCGAACGCGATCCCGGCTTAATTCCTTGAGCTTTTACTCAGACTTCAAAGCTTCAAATCACTTAAATTCATTCCCTTAACATCTATATAGCTCGGAATCACACTTACAAGGCATAAAACACACAATTAGTGCAAAACACTAGCGATTAAAGCGCAAACTCAATTAAAGTGCAGTAAATTCGAGTGTAATAAACGACTAAAATATGCAATTATAGTCTATCATCAAGTATCTTTGGAAAAAGAAAGGATATTATAAGTAGTACTAAAGCATGCAAAGCAAATCCACTAGTGTACTGTCTGAGTTGGTTAATTTTTTCATCTTTCTGGTGAAACCAATTTCCTAATTTGCACTTTGTTTCCGTCAGCCAAATAAGAGCACTGAAAGAGGAGGGGACTAACGTACTTTTCTCTTTTCCTCCACTCCATTGCTTCGTACGAAGTTTCTTTCACTTTCTTTATTTGTTTGTCTTACTTATGGAAACAGAAAGAGGAAATTTCTCTTTTCATAGTTTGGCTGTCCCCCCCCCCCCCCCCCCCCTATCTCTCTCTCGTCTTTTGTTTGCTTGAAAAGGATAAATATTAGTGGCAATAATGAAAGAACAACTAAGTACTACTGTGTAAAGGTGTTTATCGGGCGGTCGGGTGGATAATTAGGCTTAACGGTTATCGGATTATAAATACAGTAATCTGCTAGCCATCCAGTAAGACAACGAGCGGATTGGTATCGGATTGACAATTATTGAGCGGTTATCGAGCGATTATCGGCTAAACAAAATAAAAAAAAAAATTGAACAATCATTCAATCAATACCAAACAGTTTCAAATCAATACCAAATTTTTAGTACCATCTAAGATCTAACCAAATTGTATATTTGAATTGAAAAGTCTTTAAGACTACTCATATTGTCATACACATATTAACCAAATTTGTAATACCATTAAGACAACTTATACATACATACACGTATTAATTATTCAAATTTCGATTTTTCGACTTCTCAGTTCTTAGTTCAAGAGAGAGACAAGACTGACGACTTCTCTGCCTCTGGTGGTGGCAGACAATTGAGAATTAGAAAATAGAATTAGGGATTCAGCCATTTATGGTTTCAATAGTACTTTATATACATATGGGTAAAAGTGTAAATATAAAAATTCTTAACGGGTTAACGGTTTACCCTATAAGAAAATTGAGTAATCCGCCCCCAAACCGTTAAGCCGTTAATTATAATATCTCAATCCGTTCACCATCCATTACCCCGATAATCCGATACCAATAAGCCAATAAGCTATCGGTTCGGTTCGGTTAACGTTTCCGTTCGGTTTTTAACAACCCTACTGATATGTATTTTAGTGATCTAAGTATAAAGTAATTAAACATATTTAGAGAAGAGTTACAGTAATACTATCCCCTATTGTTGCAAGGAAAATGATCTTACTATAGGAAAGGGTACCTATAAAATTACCCATACTTAGAAAGATCACAATATTCAGCGTGTAATTTAGTAGTGTGTTATACACACTCTAATTTAATAGCACAAGATTCAAAAATGTTTTTCTTTACGTTCTTAAACTTTGTGTATGATCAAACTTAAGACATAAAATTAGATAGAGGGAGTAATAAAATGGAACTTATTATACTCAATTCTCTCGAATTGAGAATTTACCATCATGTGTTTGAAACAAAAAAATTGATCATGTCTTGACGAAATTTTGTCCCCAGTGATATTGGCATACAGCAGGACAAAATACTTTTTCTATGCTTACTACGTCCTAAGAACTCTCGTTGCTATGGTTTGCGAAGGAAATGTACACTGCCTTGCTCTTGCCTATGTGGTAAAACTACCTTCAAAATTCTACTGAAATCTTAAAAATTGTATGAGCATTGGAGCAATATAATTCACATAATTTTCAAAATGTTTTTATTTTTATTTTTTGGATTTCAGGCTGATGTAGTTCCAGAGAGCCGCCGTGCCTCTGTCTTTGGAGTCCTCTCCGGGATTGCTTCCTCTGCTTTTGTCTGTGGAAATCTCTCTACTCGCTTCCTCTCCACTGCTTCCACTTTCCAAGTATGTGACACTCTTTTTATTTGAGACGTCTTAATACATATGACGCTATTTCCTTAATAATAAATTAGTACTCCATCCGTTTCACTTTATATGAATCTGTTTGACTGGGCACGGAGTGTAAGAAATAATAAACACTTTTGAAATTTGTGGTCCTAAACAACTCAAAAATGGGCCCAGAGTATTTATTTGGTTATAAAAGTTTCTTATTAAGGGTGAAATTATAAGTTTAAGCTAAATTGTTACTAAATTTAGAAATGGGTCATTCTTTTTTAAAGAGACCAAAAAGGAAATAGGTTCACGGGAACAGAGAGAGTAGTGTTTAACTTATATTCACTTTAGAAATGGATCATTCTTTTTGAAACAGACCAAAAAGGAAATATGTCATTTATAGAAGTTATATACATACTAATACCGTTGTCTGCATTTTTAAAGATTTCAAATTCATCTAACTACATACATTTTAATTTTCGTACTGATGTTTTCACTAGTATACATTTACTAATACAATGCATAAGTCAAATTAACATCTTATAAGCTGTTTACAATCAAATACACTATCTTGTTTAATTTAGGTTGCTGCAACAGTGGCAGTGATAGCTCTGGTATACACGAGGATGTTTCTCCCAGAACCTTTGATAAAGGACCATATTTCTGCTAAAGGAATAGAGACAATTTGTCTTTTGGAAAAATCTCCAAAGAAAAACCTCCAATTATTCAAGACACTGCCTTCTTTCAACGATGTGCTCTGTTTGTTAAGCAATAGGTTTCACTCAATTTATGCATGTTTTATTTTTTATTTTTGTATATTTTGTTTGGCTCTCTTATTAATCATGATTATTTTAAAACTTGCAGCTCAACATTCTTACATGCAGCTATTGTTTCTTTCTTTGTCAATGTTGCACAAGTTGGCCTTGAGTCCTCTCTTCTTGTAAGTTTCACTGCCTTCTAAAGGTATGGGATTAATTTTACATATAGCCATTGAATCTTATCCGCTATAACAGTAAAGTCACTAAACTAGGGTAAAGTTAGTGACTTTACTGTTATAATGTTAATATGTAAAGTTAGTTACTTTAATGCGACGAAGATAGTTTTATGACTTTACTGTTATAATGAATAAAGTTTAGTGACTATACGTTAAAATTAACCCCATTATTGTAGATACACCATTCGTTGAAGTAATTCTTCCAAAACATACAATGTGTATATTTTTTTAAGACAATTTCGTTTTCTTGAAACTGTAAGCAGTATTTCTTGAAGGCCCAGTTTCACTTCAACAAAGACCAATTTGCTGATTTGCTTATAATTTCTGGGATTGCAGGATCCATATCACAGGTGGTTGTTTTCGGAATACCTTTTTGATTAAAACATACTTTTCAGCTTCTTAGTTTACATATATATCTTCAATATTTTTTAACTTTTGCAGCTTCTTCTCATGCCCATATTAGTTCCTGCTCTTGGAGAGGAGAAGCTGCTCTCTGTTGGACTCTTTTTCAGTTGTGTTCATGTACATAACTAACTCTATCCTTGACTACATTTCCAATTCAAAGCATTTCGAGATTTTATTTTACTGAGACGTTGAGTTCAAATTCAATTGCAGATGTTACTTTATAGCATTGCTTGGTCCTCATGGGTAATTTCTGCCTGTCCTTTTCTTTATTTATTAGCTATGTTTTCTTCAAGATATGACTTATGTAGTTTACCAAATGAATGAGGTTTATTGATTATTCAAAAACATGCAGGTCCCTTATGCTAGCGCTTTGATCTCTATTATGTCTATTTTTGCGATGCCATGTGTAAGTCTCATTTATATAATCACCTACTTTTCGTTAGCTTAAAGTTAAAAATCACTAAAAGTTAAGTTCATTGCAGTTGAAGAGCATGGCCTCCAAGCAGGTTGGGCCAAATGAGCAGGTTTGTTATCAATAATTGTTCTCATATTTTTTCTCTACATGACACTAACATCATTGATCATTTGTTAAAACTCTCTTTTCTTTTTCTCATCCGGAGTTTCTTGTACTCTAAACACTTCTGTTTACGTAGCTCTGACTCCCAACTTGATCTTTATTTCCTGCTTTCAGGGAAAGGTTCAAGGATGCATCACAGGCATATGTTCCTTTGCGACCGTAGTTTCCCCATTAATTTTTAGTCCTTTAACAGGTAGCTAAAATGGGATTATCTTTTTTACCCCCCGTGTCGTCTGTATAAGTCAATTTAATCTGATTATGGTGACATCTTTTTGCAGCTTTATTTCTATCAGAACGTGCACCCTTTCATTTCCCAGGATTTGGTCTAGCATGTGCTGCCTTTGCTTTAGTAAGTATTTTGGTTTCTGAATGGCAATGGCATCTTCCTTTCCTATTGCCTCCTCTTATCAGGAGAGAACAGGAAACGCATGTATAAAATTGATTAAAGCTAAGCAACATGAAATTCTAAGGTTCGTAGTTGTTCCCATTTAAAGATCTCGCTATCATTAGTGAATATACATTGCTGAGGCCTAAAAGTGTGAAAGTTTTCGTTTCAATTGGTGTCATTTTGAGCTCCATTTCTCATTTCTTGTGTGAAGGATTTCAAATATAACATGATCGATACTTATGCAGTTGCTAGCCTTCATTGAGAGCTTCATGATAAGATCACCTCATCCGGTAACCAATTGCAGTCTAAGCAATTCAGATTCAGCAGAACCGTAGTCTTGCAATTGAAGTGTAATGGCTCTAAACCATAAGGCCATTTCTTTATAGTTCAATCTATTCAACTTCATCGACAGGGTATTATGGCATACTGAAGGAAGCCTGAAATTTGATACGGAGCGATTATGTTGTCATATCGTTAGCTTGGCTTCTGTCTTGCAGAAATATTTGGATTACTGCAGCCTCCAAGAAAATATGGTCAGATCTGCTTGTACTATAGACTATAGAGAAGTGTTGCTTGTCAATAGTGTTATTTTACATCTTAGATGACTCCGTAATTGATTGCTCAGAGGAAATTAAAATGCGTACATATGTATGATAGTGATGATATACTAGGAAGATTTCCTTTCTTTTAAATTCAATTCTCCTGCTGTTATTTATTTGTAGAAGTCCCTGCAAACACTATAACTTCTATGATCAGTTCAACAGACACGGCGCGCGCAGAGCAATATACAGAAAAATGTGGTAATACACAAAAAAAGCCAGTGAAATCTGTTAGCTCTTATAGTAAGTTTTAATTGCCTCCTCAAAAGCAAAAGAAGCATAAAAAGATTTCAACTGATTGAAATTCTATAATATCAACTGTTACATGGTGCTATATAATCAGTTGACAGTAACTTTGCCAACCATTCCAGCTCCCTGGTGAGGCGCACAGTAGAAAGTGTAATGTCCTTTCTCACTCAAAGTAACAGTGTATATCTCCCCTAGTCCATTGAGATACTCTTCTTCAGGCATGGAGATTTTTGATACATCCACACCAGCTGGGACTTCATCCTCATCGAGCGCGACCCTCTATTGTTCTTAAACAGAATGCTCTCACCGCGCTTACGCTGAAGTTTCCGTGAACAAAAGCAAGAGAACCATCATCGCCACCAAGCAATACTTCAAGTGCCATGGCATTGCTAGCTAGCATTGCACTTGCAGCAGTGGCGAAAATGACCGCGCCAATATCTTTTAATGAAAGCCTTCACGGCCAATATGGGGTGGTGGACGCCATCTTGGCTACATTGCTAATTTTAGAAGTTGATGAAGTTGATGCACCAGCTTTAAGGCCAGTGAATGAGGGATAGTGATCATGCCCAACTACGCCTAATAAAAAGACTAGCGGTCGAATCGCACAGAGAATTAACATATTAATCACAATATTCTTGCACGAATTCAAGCAATCAACTTTTAGAAATAGCAAATAACAATTGTTGATGTTTAATAACTAAGAACGAGCAACAAAGCAATGCAGTAAATTATCACAAACAAAGTTATAGACAAGATTGAGAAGCCTAGAGTTATGATTTCCCTAATTGTCGGGATCCTCCCTGCTATATCTCCAATAATTTCGCCTATTACTCTCTATGAATCATGAGCGCTTTGTTTATTGCAATTCTATCTCGAGTAACTACAACAATTTACTAGACGCACTCTCTCGAATTACGCTAGTTGTATTTTTCTCTTACCGGTCATTATAATGCTGTTAATACTCAATTTTTCCCTATGTATTTTTATATATACTCAAAATATTCTCAAAATAGTATGTACATGCATATATAAGCATACCCAAGAGTTTTGGTATTTTTCCTTATTTTAAAGATTTTTTAAAATCACTTTGTTGCCTATTTTAATAGTACAAAATTCAATAATTATTTCCAGACTATCATTTTTGGTGAATAATTTATCTTATTCTCATATTTACACCCAGATATAATTAAGGTGATTTTTTTGCATATTTTATATAATTTATTTGGTATTTTTAAAGCTAAATTGCATGTAATTGCAATTATAGCCTATTTTACAATTAACAGCATTTCATAATTATCAAATTATTTCCAGTATTTTTAAATTAATACTTATACATTATTAATTAGTTCAGTGCTTTTAATTTATTTTAAAAATTATTTTAACTATTTTATACAAAATAAAAGGGGAAACTGGCTATTTAACATTAGCCTCATTTCATTGCAATTATAGCCCATTCGGATTTCAATTTTAGCCCTCAATTTACCCAGTCCTAACCCCAATTGGACCGACCCATATTTCAATTAATCGACCCGGTCCAGCCTTGATTTAATCTGAGCCGTTGATCAAGTGAGATCAACGGCCCAGGTTCTATTTCCAAAATTAAATTAACAACCCCCCCCCCCCCAAACCCCCCTCCATTTCAGAGACGGTCTCTCTCTCTCTCTCTATACTGACTCTTGCTCTCCCTTCTCTCTAGAACCTTCTGGTTCTCTCCTTCGTCTCCGATGAATCGACCGCCTCTCCGGCCACCTCCAGCCTCACTTCTCTTGACCACCAGCCACCATGAAACCTTGTCTTGTTGATTCCCTCTATCTTTGAGACTCCAGAAGCCTCCACCATGAAAGATGGTCATCGAAAGCTCTGCCTGGTTTGTCTCCGACCTTTCTCCGATGGTTTATGGTTCGATGGTGCTGCGAGCATCATTATAAACGAGTTTCACAGCTAGGTTCCTTACCTCTCACTGATTTATTACGAAACCCTAATTTTCTTAAAAACCTTGTCTTTTTAAACGATTTTTAACTTATTCTTTTGTGTTTTACACTACTCTCTACTAGATCTTTTCGATTGTTCAAGTTTTCAACGTTTTGTTCTTCTTTTAAAACTAGGGTTTCCTTAACCCTTTCGAAATCACTATATCTTCTGATTTTTTGAGTATTATGTGTTTATGTTTGTGTTATGTGCTTGTTGGTGTGATCTTCTGGTTACTCTCCGAGTTCCATGCTTTAATTTTGCTATTAGGGTTCTAGCCTTCTATTGATTCTGTGATTTCTTGCTTACGGTTCTCTGATTTTCATGCCTATTGTATTTTATAGGTCTAATTATTCATCGTTTACCAAATATTCTGCTGATTTTGTGCATCTCCTCGAATCCCTAAATTTGTATATGTTTTCCTTAGAAGTTTTACACTGATTTTTGAATCACTTCCTTATTTGTGAAATGCTCTCCTTACTTAGTACTGATTCCCTGTGATTTTTAATTTCATTCGTGATTCTTTGAACTAATTTGTGTGCACAATATGCTGTTCTTATACTTTCCTTACTTGAAATATTCTGTATACTTTTACTACTCCTATTATGGAAATACCAGTCTTGCAAATAATAATTTTCCTTATTTGATACAATTTGTACCCATTTGAACTATGACTCCTTAATTGAAGGGAGTCCGAGTTTTTAATTGATTCTAATTGGTATTATTTTCATAACTATGATCGGTCTATACGTATTACCTTATTTTCACTTAATTTGAGAGCTATAAGTACCCCTATTCTCTTTTGCATTACACACTGATACATTGCACATCACACACACGAACACGAACAAAGTTCATTGCTCTGAACTCTCTCTTACACACATAAGCATACTCAGTGTTCTCTCTTGTTTTCTACACATCCTCTCCCACTTTCCTGTTGACTACTGATTATTCGGTCGGCTGAAAGCCAAGACTGAGTGATCTTTGGGGGGGCGCTCCATTATTTTACTACTCTATACATTGCTGATTGTTTGGTCTGCATACTACTGCTTACTTCCCTGCACACTACTGCTCTACACTATCTCATCCTTGACTGGTATGCCCTCTATTTGATTTGTAGTATCCAAAACAATATGCTTTTATACATGTTGCACCTTATTTTGTTTCTTCTATGCTTTTACTTATGGTCGTGCTGTTCTTATTGCAACTAGCATGCCCCTGTGTGATTATCCTTCTATTAATCTGGCATGCCTACTGGTTTGCTTAATGCATGTTCTCTCCTACCCCCTAGCCCCAGTATATTCTCAGCATGTGATCATGAGCCCTTTTGGTTCAAACCTATTGACTGTCTAAGTTTTGAAGTGCTTTCCTTTGGTATCTAGGTGCAATTGTGTTATTACATGTGAACTACTTGTCCCCATTTCCCTTTTCCCTGTTTGTGTTTACTGCCCGAAATTATATGAGGTATTTTGGTTCTGAGTTTGTCAAAACTGTCCCATTCTTTTTCTTTCAAAACTGTTTCTACATGGATCATTTTTTTTTTAAAAAAAAACTGTCTTTCAACTCAATTTCTTTAAAGAAAATTCTATTACACTCTCACTACTCCTAGAGTTTAGGTTCTACCCCCCTTCGTGTAAGCATTGCCTTGGGCACCTTTGAGTACCCATTGAACTTTGATGCACAAGGCTGGTAATTCCACACTGCACTTGTTCAAACATTTTTGTAATGTTTGGGTGCTGGTATTGGCCAAGGACCCCCATTGGGCCCTTAGGGAGCTTTGCCGCATCCAAACCATGGTCAAGGCTGTGAAACTCGAAAGAAGTGAGGTTGGAAGATTGGGCCTGGTTGAAGGCTCCCCATAGAGTAGCTTCTTATTTTATTTTTTCATTATGTAATTCAGCTATCATGGTTTGTACTAACTTGTAAACAACTGCTTGGGGCTATAGTGAAATTGGGAGGGATTATGCATGCTTAGTTTAATTAATGGGTAGAGAACATGTCTATAGGGCTTTACTTATCAATTTGTGCAATAGAAGCCATGCGTAGGACATGCATCTTATACCTAGATATCCTGTTTTAGGCTCTTTACTTTCAAATTGTTATACTCACTTTGTAGTCAGATAGTAATTAACGAACAACTGTTATGAAACTACTACTCCATTTAGAGACCATGCTTTAGGAGCTTTATGTGCATTAGACATCATGTTATTTAGGGTTGCAATTGCTGAACGCCTCACTAGCTGTTTAATTTAATGACACAAGTTTGTTTGACTGCATCTTCTCTTTAAAACTGGAATCAATATGCATGTTCACCACTTTTTTTTAAGACAAGAAGGCAATACATACATCGCCTAGGCAAGCTTTAGGCCCAATAATAATAAAGATGATTGATTTTGTTTTACTAGTTTCAAACTACTCAACCTTTTAACTTTCCCAACTCTTTTTATCCGTCTCTCCGAAAGTCCACTCTTTTACTGAAAATCCCTTTATCTGGAAACATGTTTCGTATTTATAGGCTCTCACTAATTTCCTGATTCTTGCTCCATTAAGTTTTCAAATTACTGGATTATCTTTCTGCCCAGGATCACATTATTTGATACTTGTCTAATTAAACTATTGTATTTTCAAATCTCTACTTTTTCCAAACGATGTTTCAGCAGTTCCCTCACCTTTACTTACTCAACTGTTTTCTTAGTTGTATTTCTGCAAGTCAAACACTCTTTGGATCACTCAGTTGTGATTAAACCTTCTGCTAAAACTGATCTTTAAACTCGCGTTCTTTTAAGACCTTAAATGTGTTTGAGACGTGCTAATTACATGTTTACTTGTGAGGGATCTGTGAGCCTCTTATTTGCCTTTGTATGGTTCCTTTATGTGTAGT